AATATCGCGTTTTCACCGAGTTTTACGCCGCTTCACGTAAAACGGGTCGTGATACTCCATCTATCCAATGCGGTTACTCCGTGTATAATATCGTTAATATATATATTATTATAATATATAGGTCATTAGCGTGTAGTCTATGGAGGCAGTCACGCACATGTGTATGCGTGCACCTCATTAGCTATACGGTGGTTCACCTTGCCTCTCTCTTTCCTTCTCCTCTCCGTATGTCGAGTTCAGAGACACATCACGTCATAGGACAGATGGTTTAATATATAAATAACATGTCATTGTATTATAAATATGTACTATGTTGGTGAATCCATAGAATGCTCGGTACTTAATCCTGAGAATTTCAGCGATTATACGACGATAAAATAAAATAAAATTATCATTATGTTGAGTATTAGGAGTATTGTCGTTCTCTTTTAGATACAACGACAAATCGGTTCTCCAGAATTTCCATGCGGCGACTACGTTTGAGGCACTAGAAGCGAACCCGACCTGTGATCCGACTCAATGGCTTTACCAGTGAGCTATTCTATTACTTTTTTCCGAGCGTAAATTTAGGATTTTTTTCTTAACTGTATAAATTTTTCGATATTTGAGTGGCAGCTTTCGTTGATTAGACTAGTTGCGAATTAGTCTCGAGGAAATTATAATTCATCTAAAAATTTTTTCCAGTTTTTTTCGTCATTTTCGGATTTTTTTCTTTTCTTAGGAGCGAAAAAGAACGTTTCCGGAAGATAGTCATCGATTGCATTATGTCGTTGGACCCGGCTGGTCATTTCAGAAGAGTGGAGGAACTCGAGGTGGGGAGCGTTGAGGAAATCCAAGTCGGCGTAAGATTGCAAGATTCTATTGTAGGATTCGACGACGCGACCTATAAATCTTCTGCGTGCGGTGATTCGAGCGGCCGATATGGGCTTCACGGCGATGCCGTGGGATTCGCATTATGCGAGCGTTGAGAGACTCAGTGAGGAACGTGGAAATTCTTTGTTGTTTTTCGCTCCGCTGTCTTTTTGTGACATGTTTTTCGGGCAGTTTCGGAGTATGTCTCTCAAGGAGACGACGAATGGGCGATGGGGATACCAGTGAGCTTATACTGCGACTCAGCTACTTTGGACGTCCCTGGCATGCAGTTGGGGTTCATCGAATTAAGTAAGTTTCGCTGCTGGGATTCGATCCGGGGACCTTTCGGTGTGAAGTCTGACTATTTTCCCATCTTAGGTACACTTCCTCTGTTTGCTGCTATTCAGAAGCGTATCGACGAACACAACTCGATGGCTAGTGGACGGATTGAGAAAGTAAATTCACAGTCTCGTTCGTGTCATGGGAGTGGTTTGGAATTTTATGAGATGAGTAAATTTTTTTTCTGGGTATTAATCAATCGCTCTCAAAATCGGAAAAAATCTTCATAACTTTTTTTCTGTTTTTTTCCTAAACTATGCCAAATTTTACCGTGGCGAAAACACTCTCTGTTTATTATTCATCGTCATTTTTAGAGTGGAAATTTCTATTGTTGAAATATACGAGTTTATGTGAGAGCTTACCGATTTTTTCCGCTGAAATTTGGAGGACGTTCTGAAAAGAAAGTAGATCTTGGAGCTCTGCGGCTGACTGGATTGATTCTCCGGAATTTTTTACCCACGTTTTAGGTTCTCTGTCAAATTGAGTCCAATCGACAACGGTGGGAAGAGCTCGTCGATACTCGAAATCGTTTCCAATCGGGGGACAGCGATGATGATGATGATGGCGATAATGATGGTTTTGTCATCGCAAACTTCCCTAAGAGAGTTATCAGTATGTAAATTTGAGTTTGTTTTGATCCTTAGTCGGTCGAATTTTGTCACTGCGCCATGAAATTAGGTGCGACGCGAGTTGTTGCGTCCACAAACAGGGTACCTTCTCGCAATGTCAATTGCACACGTATTCTACTGTTCATTTTTCTGTAACAAATTTACGACGTTTTAGCGGTGGGAGACAATTGTTTGGTTGGAGTATAACAAGGGAAAATATCGGCTGAGGAAATTTATTTTTTTTTCAGTGGGAAGTTTGGGAGATTTTGGTATGGGGTGATTTTTATGCTATGCTTGTATTCTCTTAGGGCGAGTAAGGGACTGAAAAATTTCACGGAAATCCAGGATTTTGAGGAATTCTCGGAAATTTTCCTTTTAAGGGGAAAAAATTTCGCGAATTTTTCCCATTGTGAAGGGTATTTTTTCCGTAAAAAATTTTTTCGGGCGGTAGAACGATCGAATATATCCTCGGAAAGTTCATTTCGGTATGTCTTCTGATACCGGCATCTCCTCCTCGACTACAGCCAGTGGATCGCCGCCAATTGAATCGAAGGTCGTGGGAGAGGCGTTACGGTTGAGTCATATTGCTAACGACGATAAGGTGGGTGGCTGTCACCCTGGTGATACCCGGTTCGATCCCTGCACTTGTCGATTTTGATATCCGGACATTTCGTGGCGCAGTGACGGTTATGTTGTGGATGCTTAGGTTCTGGAAAACCTGTGTGCATTCTTGCCATCAGCTGTAATGAAATTGCAAAGGCTGAGTAAAATCTTCCACTGGAGGTTGGACTCAGAAAGGGTTGGAAAGATACTCTCGAAAGTGGCTACTGAGGTCAGCTGGAACTGTTTTTGACTTTTTTAGATTTTCGTAGAAGAATTATTTCCTCAATGATTAGTTTTTGATGGAAAATTCCAAAAATTATCGGGAAAAATAGAAAAAAAGGAAATTTTTCGTTCTGTTTTTCCGGTATTATATTTTTATGAAACTGCGATCTTGCTGTGTCTCAACGCCATGGTTAATCGTTCGCTTCAGTTGAATATTCTGTCTCTGGACCCGTTTCGGGTAGCGGCGTGTGGTATGGTGGATTTGCTGTGGTTGCTGATAGTGACCAGTGATATCGACGTTAGGAGTTGTCGAGATGACGAAGGAGGTGATTTTTTCCGGAAATGTGAAAAATTTACCCATCAATAAACTTGGTGATTTAGGTACACTGTTGCAGCGAGCGACTCGGTCGGGCAATTTGCCGACGATGATGGTGTTGTTGGAAAGAGGGTGCAACGTCAATGCTAAAGGATCGGTGAGTGTTGATTTCAAATGGCGGAGCGAAGCGTTTTTTGTTTGCAATTTTCGCAGTGGTACCAGCAATACAGCATATGAAAAACGCAATTAACTAGAAACAATCGGGGCTCTGGTGTCGAACTGGTGTGAGAACACATGTACGTGGTCAGCTGCATGTGCTGGTGAAAAATTTGAAAATTTCGGGGAAATTTTGGGAATTTTTTGTTGATTTCTGTACACTGCTATCAAAACGTGTATGTGAACTCTTATAGTTGCTGAGGAAACTCCGGAACTGAGGGGGAGGGAGCAAACCTATGTTAAGATTGAATTCGCAGGGATGGTTGGAGCTTTCCTCGTTTTAGTCGGGTTATACGCCACTTCACGAGGCATGTTACTTGGTAGAAAAACCAGCAGTGTGCGATCTACTGCTAACACGGGGGGCAAATGTTGACGCTATTTCTACGAATGGTTCTACGCCACTCTTCGTGGCCTGTCGAGAGCCTAGGGGTGCTGCTGTGGCTGCGACGTTGCTGAGGTGAGAAACTCTCGATTTGACGGCATATGCTGGATGATAAGATGAAGGCGTTTAGGGAATTCTAAATACGAATTTCAAATTTCGGAATGTATGGAAAATATTGAAAAAGTGAAAAAAAGGAAAATTTTGTGAAATAGATATAGTACATTCTGAGCGTAGTGGTGCGGTTATTTGAGATCATATAATTAACCTTCATAGAAAAAATAACATTTTTTTACACATTTTCATGTTAACTTTGCGCGTATTGGTATGTCGTTGTGAAGGATTGTGTTATGGTAGGTATGGCGCGCATCCTGATGATGGTGGTGATAAGGGGTGGACGCCCTTGTTTGTGGCAGCATTGACAGGCCAGGAGGATACTGTTGCTTTGTTGTTGTCATATAGTGCATGCATAAACGAGGTCAAATTGCGTGTCTATGCTGCTGGTCGTGGGATTTCGTGGCGCGTGACGATTTCAGGTGAATCCTGTGGATGGTCGAACGCCCCTGCACGCGGCTGCTGAGGTTGCGGCGATTGATGTGGTGGAGATCCTCTTGAGGCATGGTGCTGATGTGCATGCTACGGATGTTGTAGGAATGGATGCCAAATTTACTTTTGGAGGAATTTTCCCGCGCGCGCCACGAAATTGCAGAATTTTCTCTCAGCATGGGAAGACGCCGGCTGAAACGGTTGGTGTCGGGTTGGGCCCCGAGGTTTTGGCACAGCTTCATGAGGAAGGGCTATTGACTGAAGGGGATATGGTCGATGATGAGGAGCTGATGAGGTTGATGATAGAACATCCTAGGGCGAAGGCTGTTCGAGAGGTGAGGTCCCGGGTTCGATCCCTGGTGGGCGCTTTTTGGAGGAGAAATTTTCGAGAGAATTTTTTGCTCAGTTTACGGTAGAGTCATTTGTGTGGAGTTTCCGAGTAGAAACAATTTTCGAGAGTTTTGCATTTTTAATCGAATTTGGTATCATTTGAATTTTCCGAGTGATTTTTGAATATACTCATTGAGAATATGCTCACTAGTGTCGGAGAAATATATGTTGACTTTCCTCAGCTGCTGAGTTCAGGAGTTTCCTTGCTAGTTATAGAAGTTTACATACGAATTCGGGTACACAAACTGATGAGAATTTCCCAAAATTTCCTTGTAATTTCTCACCAACACATTTAGTTGATTATGTGGATATTTTCTCATTCCAAGTGTTATCTTGCAATCTTGCATTTCCTCAACGCTGGTTGTAGATGCTCGACATGGCTGCTTCGTCCGAGAGGGTGGTGGTAGAAGCCATTGAAGGGTTCGCAGTAGAGGAAACTGTCGGGGAGGGGACCCCTGGGGTCGACGCGCTGGTGAAGAATTCAAACTTGGCCTCGGCATATGATGTGATGGTTGGGAGGATCTTGCAGCGGGGACAGTCATTGTGGGACGAGGTGGGCATTTGGGAGAGGAGTGGTATGAGTTTCGGAGGGGTTATAATATGGGATATATTATTCGGGTGGAAGGTAGATAACAGCAGTTTATAATCGCCGATGGTGAAGTACGAACGTTTTGGAGGAGAAATTCTGAGGATTCCGTTTGGAACTTCCGGAATAGGAGATTCCTGAAGCCAGTGGAGGGAGGGTTTGAAAATCGCCATGGGCGTTTTATCGTGTGCGAAAAAATCCGGGATTTTTTCGAGAGATTTCATCGCCAGTGGGTATCGAACCTGCGTGTTTCCGTAGGAAGTCGACGAGAGTAACTCCCAGGCTAACGAGGCGGTGTTACTCAGCTCGTATAGTGCTACACCGAGCCAGCGTTATGGTGGAGGGAGTTTAATGACGAGTCTAGGAGGGCTGGATGTTGGTGTTGACACTTGCAATCTTGCTCAATCTTGCATTTCCTCAGGGAATTCCGGAGGACTCGGTGGCTCAGGCATCATCGTCGCTTATGTCGTGCATTCCAAAGGCTGTTGATTTCGGAACATCTATGGGGAGGTTTGGGTCGATTTCGGGTGGGCCTAGTTTGAACCTTGGATATTTGGAGATGCGCATGCGTGCAGATACGGACCTGTTGGTGGTTGATGATGATACACCATCGAGCTTGAGCGTTGGTATGGGGGGAGTCTTCCGGGAACAGCAGAACTCATCGGCGCCGCCGCCCTCTGGGATGGACCAAGGAGGAGGACGGGGATCTACAATGGAGACGATAGAATTGTGAATATATGA